TAATACTTAATACTAGTACATAATAACTTTTACAATATGATAGCAATTGGGACAATTTTAAATTTTAATGTATAATTGTATATTTAAATAAATTGTATTTCTATTTACTTAGGYGAAAAAAAGAAAAAAAAGATATACTATTCTATGTTTAAAATTATTATTAATTAACATAATTATCATTCATGAAAATTGAGTTTGCTTAAATATATGACACATAAAATGTATGAATTTCTTTTTCATTAAAACAAATTAGCGTCAAATTAAATAAATAATCTTTAGATGGATTGTACTATTCATCAGTTTTTTCTTTACGTTCATTGTACTCTTCAAGTTCTTTAAGAAATATTTCTTTAGGCTTCATGGTTTTGGGATTATTACTAGTGTCTCGACAAAATGGACAGAACCATTTTCCTTTGGGCTTCCTATGTATAGACACACAGCCAAAATGAAACCACTGAATTGGACATAAATCATTATCACAGCCAACCATATCACCATAAGATATCTCTTCACAAAGACAATAAGTTGGCTGTAAATCATCATCATCATTACCATCGCTATCAGAAATGTTTACATTTGAAACTACTTTTTTATTTTTGGAAGGCTGTGCTTTAGACTTTTTGTTTGATGTGGTTTTTTTTTTATTTTGATTAGTGCTTGATTTTTTGTTCAAATTTGCATTCAATTCTACGCTTTTGTTGAATGCAGTAGATATTTTTGTTACATTTCTTTTAGGGCGCTTATTAGAATTATCTATTTTTAATGAATCAATTCCCTTATTTTCAGGCACACTTTTTAACATTCTTTTATTTGATTTTATTAAATCTAATTTTGCATTTTCAACTTCTTTATAGTTCATTTCTAAATTATTCATGTTCTTTTCAACCATATCCAATAGACAGTTAGCAACGTTTACTTTYCTGTCAGCCAGGTCTAAAGATTCAATCAACATTTTCTTCACACGTTGTTCATCAGTAGATGAAAATTCATCAGTTTTTTTTGTAAACTTCATCAATTTATTTAAAATATGTGAGTGACGACAATCAATTTCATAATAACGACTAACTTGTTTTTGTCCATCTTGAGGAAAATTGTTCAAAACATCATCACAATTGTCCAAGAAGCGAATAACCGCACTATTTAATAATTCGTTCATAATATTTGTCTCTATCTGAAAAATATTTATAATATGTCATATGATTTTTGCTAAAACTTTGTATGGTAAGAATTTAAAAATATTTGTTGACAAGTCATTTTTTACCTATGTATAATTATATAATAAGTAAAAACATATTTAGTTCAGTATAACATATTATCAACACTTTTCAAAAATATAATTTTCTTTAAAATACAATATACAAACAGGGAGATTAATCAAGCATTCTTCACACCTCTTTTTCTTCAATAACATGCAGTTACTCATTAAAGACATGGCTATGGTGATTGTACAATATTAGTAATTAATTATAATTTGTAAAAATCATCCAATAATAAACCTATAATAAATGTTAGATACAATATGAAATATATTTTATATTTTGTAAAATATTTTWTAAGTACTTTTACCCTTAATATAAATATTTTAACAACTGAGTTCTGTACTCTTTTGGATTTTAGTACTAGGTGCATCAACATAAAAAAAAAATTATTTGTTAAATTTAGCCTCAAGGATTTGAAATTGGGGTCTTTAAAATCTATTATTGTACCCTGTCAAACTATTATTTAGTTATCTTGTATAACCATTGATGTCTGATATAAAAATGCCAAAAATTTAAATTTATATACTTAAGTTCATTTTTTCATAACTTCCCTCCCCGGTCATATWAATCATTCCATATTAAATTTCTCAGACTTATCTTCTGATCACACACCTTTACTCCTAATCTTAAATGAATTGTCTACTACAACGACTACWTGTCATACATTAACTCCAAGGAAAACCGATTGGGAAAAATTTAGCCAAACTATAGACGACCTCATTTTACTAAACATCCCTTTAAAAACACCTTCAGACTTGGATAATGCAGTCCAATCATTTACAAATGTTCTTCAAAACACAGCACGAAATTCTTCCCAAATGCTCTCTAATACCCCCAAAGTCACTAAAGATTTACCTCTTCACATAACACAACTAATTTCTGAAAAACGCAGAGCCCGCTGTAGATGGCAAAGAACGCACTTGCCTAGTGACAAAAAAAAATATAATGCTCTCACTTGCTCCCTAAAAAACGTACTWCGAAACTACAATTCTGAAAAATATCTACAGTATCTAAAATCTCTCTCCAGTTCAGATAACTCACTGTGGAAATCACCTAAAAATATTTTAAAAGAAAAAAACAAAACACCTCCTCTACGTTACTCTGATAGATCCTTAGCTTCATCAAACTTAGACAAARCAAATCTTTTCGCAACTGATCTTGAAAGTAGATTTACGCCTCATACAGACATTTTAAATTTAGAACACTCCCATCATGTCGAAACCTCATTAATCAACACCCTGCCAATGTGTCTTCCAACAAAACATACTTCCCCTTCTGAAGTTAAAAATATTATTAGTAAATTGCGAAATAATAAATCACCTAGCCATGACCTGATAACCAATACCATTACGAAGAAACTGCCGAAAAAAGCAATCCTACTACTTACCTATATCTATAATGGCATACTTCGCCTATCATACATCCCTTCCACATGGAAGCACTCAGTCATCATTCTTATTCATAAACCGGGCAAGCCACCCGATATCCCGTCTTCTTACAGACCCATCAGTCTTCTCCCTACGTTCTCTAAAATCCTCCTAAAAAGAATTTATCCAATTTTAAATGAAAAAAATATTATTCCTAACGCTCAATTCGGTTTTAGTAGCAATCACTCTTCTCTCCATCAAATCCCCAGAATAGTTGACAACATTGCTTCTTCCCTTGAGCAAAAAAACTTTTGTTCAGGGGTTTTTCTCGACGTTGCACAGGC